GGAAGGAATGGCCCATTCAAATGGTGCTGGGAAAACTACATATACACATGAAAAAATGAAACCCTACCTCATGTATACAAAATATAATTAAAGAGCTAAAATGATGAAAGTTTTAAACATGGCAAATCTTAAACTTAGGATTTGACAGTGATTTCTTACATATACCAAAAGCACATGCAACCACACAAATAATTAATGACATCAAAATTTAAAATAACACCTTTTCAGAGCACGCCACCCAAAACTGAACTCATAGAATGTGTGGAAAAGTTTGTATATGATGTCATATAATGGACTTAAGTCTAGAAGGTACCTTGTAAGGAACTCCCAAGTCAGTAATAAGGTAAATGACCAAATTTTGAAGTGAATCCGTTTTTTTTTCAAGGAAGATACACAAGTGATATCTTTAGAAAATGCAAATCAAAATGACAATGTATGATTTTACTCACAATAAAATGGGTGTGCTGGACCCTCTCTAGTGGCACAGCAGGTTAAAGCACAGCACTGATAAGCTAAAGCCAATTCAGCATGAGTTCGATCCCTGCCCCGGAGCACATGGCACAGCAGACCTCTCCTGACCAGCCTGCTGCTGCTCCCCTCAGCAGTGTGCTTCCACAATCTGCTTGTTCTCCCCACTGTTTCTGGTGAATCCTCTCACTGCCCCTGTACCTCTAGTCTATACCCAGTTCTGTATGCATAAATAAATAAATCTTAAAAAAAAAAACTGAACATTTCACATATTTAATATAACATTCCATATTAAAGTAATATGGAAATAAAAAGTAAAGCATAACTACGAAGTGTAAAAAAACTGGAAAACACAAAGCCAAATGTAATTTTAAGACTTCAAATGAAAACTAATTTACAATAAATGTAACTGGATTAAATTATATTAAAATTTATATGAATTTATAAATTATGAAAGACAGATTTTTAAAACTTGTTTCCGATCTAGTGCTGTGGAACAGTATCATGATTCAAAAATTTTTGTGAAATGACACATTTTGACAGTTTGAAAGGATTCAAGGTAGGTGAAGAGAGGAGTTCTGGTGATTCCAGGGATTCCCCCAGGTAAGGTAGACTGGGCTATTGTTTTATATTCTCCCAGTAGTAAAACTTCACTGAACCATTCTTTTACTTCGCATTTTAGTGAAGTGATTTACCAGTGATTTATTTCCTTCAGCCTTTTATTGGCAATTTTACTTGTTTCCCCTAAACTTTCTTTTGCAGAGTTTGCAAACTCACATACTGTAAGTACCACATAGTACACTTTTATGACCAGTTCTCTAACGTTGTGTATATTTCTCAAGACTAATTCATTCATTCTGATCAGGCATCCCTATTATGTATTCACTCAATTCTTTGTCCTGTTATATTTTTATCTCTGTACATCAATGATAGGCAGCTTCACACCCTCGGATAACCTAAATCAGAAGGCTTCATTACCATCAATTAGGCCTTGCTATCTCACACTACCATAGGGTAAGGAAGTACATTTCAACCATAGGAAGTACATTTCAAAACGAGGTTAAGTTTTAGCCATAAAAGAAAAAAAAGAAAATGAAATTTGCAAATATTAAAACTAGGAAGAGTAAAGATAAGTCACAGAATGAAAGATATCTGTAACATTCACAGAAAATTTGTATTCATAATTACCAATTTTTCTGCACTACATTGAAAAAGAATCCAAGAATGAACAAGAAATAATCAGGATCTTTGCAGACAAGGAAACATGTATAGCCAATAAACATGAAAAGTACTAGTAATTAGGGAAATGACAAAATAAGATATATCTCTATGCAAGTCAGTTTGCAAAAATTAGGTCTTACATCCTTCTGGGCTCAAGAATATATGGTAGGCCCTCCCTGGTGGCTCAGCAGGTTAAAGCACACAGCACTAAGAAGCTAAAGCTACTTCAGCATGAGTTCAATCCCCTCCCACCCTGGAGGTGATCCAAATGGGGAGGCAGACCTCTCCTGACCCGCCCACTGCTCCCCTCAGCAGTGTACTTCATTGATCTACCTGTTCTGCTCCCTGCTGTCTCTGGTGAATTCTCTCACCCACTCCTGCACCTCTGGCCTATACCCCAGTTCTGTATGCATAAATAAATAAATAAATCTTAAATATATATATATATGGTAACACTTACACTTTGCTGCCCATAGAGGTGCAAATTATTTACAGTTGCTTTTGAAAACAACTTGACTGTCCTGAAAAGTTAGACACTTGTATACTTTATCACTACCCAGCAAGTCCATTCAAGAAATGCTTAGACAACCACCTTGAAACAACAATGGTCACAGTAGCAGCATTAGAAAAACAAAAACAAAAATTGGAATGATTTACCTTTATAGATAACTAAAGGTGTATATATTGACCCAGTGGATTATTATAATACCATGAAAAATGTATAAATTACTGCTGTATGTATTCACATTGATGAATTTTGGAAAAATGAATTCAAAAACAAGTTTTTGTAAACTTACTTGCAGAAAACAATATTAATACATGACATAATGACACTATGACAATAGAAGTTTAAATTCAAAATATAAGATACAGATTATTTCAAGATGGAGAAAATGTGTGTTTTGGTGGATGCATAAGTTAATGCAAGTTACTGGCAGTATTTGTATTAGTTGGTGGCCCAGACATTTTTTAGTATGTTTTGTAATTGACATTCCTGTCTGTTGCATGCATCAAAATGTAGATGTGAATTTACTCCCCATCCTTTCAGGATGTTTCTCTAGTCTTTGCCTTTTCCAAAGGCCTTGTGATAGGTCATAGTAATGTGTTTATATTTGGATGTTACTTCTAAGATTTACAAGAGTAAAATATTTTAACTGCAATTACTAAAGATTGTTTTCTCTTCATCTTGATTTTGCTTTTACGTCTCCTGGTGGTAGAACAGATTCGGGCATTTTGTGAGTGGTGGATTTATGACTTGCAGTCAGTTTTGAATGTACGTAATTACCACTGTTGGTGTGATTGTATTGTGAGTAGTCTGTCTTGCCTGGCACCTGAAATTTGTAAGTAGCTAAGCCAGTCATTAAAACTTAAGAAGCCAAGTGTTCCTCCTTTGTGGTGCAATGGGTTAGGACTCAGCACTGCTAGCTAACCACAGCTTCTTCGGTGCGAGTTCAATCCCTGCCCCAGAGGTGATCCACATGGCACAGCAGAACTCTCCTGCCCTGCCCGCTGCTCTCTTCAGCAGTGTACTTTGTCTATCTGCCTGTTCTGCTCCCCACTTTGTCTCTGGTGAATCCTTGCACCATCCCTGTACCTCTGGCCTGTACCCCAGTTCTATATGCATAAATAATTCTTTAAAAAAAAAAAAACTTAAGCCAGAAAGTGAACAGGAAAAAAATTCAGTTATCTGATGTTTAAAAGTTGTAAGAATTTAATTCTTGTGGATTTTTTGGTCAAGCAAATATTTATCTCTTGTTAAAAATATATTCAGAAACATAGCACATCAAATTCCTATAGCAATTTCTTCTTTTTTAATGCAGGAATCCCTACCTTTGAAATAAATTTTTGTATGTAGAGGGTACAAAACTCTAATAGTACCAACAACAAAAAATGTCTTTAGGTGAAGCTGCTTGAAATGAATTAAGATTATCAACTGAAAAATAATCATGGTAGAAGAAAGGCTTGGTTTATCCTTTCTCTCCATGGGAATATGAAAATTGTGATCATGAAGAGACAAATATGCAGGCATATTGGAATAGAATTTTATAATGTATCAGGCCTTTAATGAAAGTATGCTTTTGGGAGGAACAAGGGAAACTTTACCATATGAAAAACATACAGGTTTTTAAGGTTGTGATTTTTTTTTTAAAGATTTATTTATGCATACAAGAACTGGGCTACAGGCCAGAGGTGTGGGTGTGAGAGGTTTCACCAGAGACAGATGGGGAACAGAACAGGCAGACTCACTGAAATACACTGCTGAGGGGAGCAGTGGGTAAGACAGAAAGGGGTCTTCTATGCCTTGTGGGTCACCTCCCCAGCCAGGGATGGAACTCGTGCTTCACTGGCAGATAGCTTCATAGTTGCGACTTAACCCCTTGCGCCACCAGGGAGGCACCTAAAGTTGTGATTTTTGTTCTTGTTCTAAATATTCACTTCAGCCTTTAGATCTCATATCTGTTGGAACTCTTCCCAATCAAACTTGAATAAAAAGAATATAGAAAATGAAGCTTTAAGTAAAGAAATAATGATAAATGGGAAAAAATATTTTGGTAGTTTTTGCTGGGTTATGTGCTCAGCTTAAAAGGTTCAAAATTTTGTCTTTGACTTCGAATTTAGTAGGAATTCTGTACTGGTCTGTCATGTGTGTCAATATATTCTTCGAATTCTTTTTTTTCCTTATGCCTTTGTAAACTGGCAGTATTCCTTTTCTTTAAGCCATTTACCTACCTGTGGTTCAGATCAAACTTGATGTGGATACTGAAGAAAAAATAATCTTTCTCTGTTGTGTTGACTTTTTTTAATTGTGAGAAGTATTAAAAACTAAGTATAACACAACCCAAATTATACTAATTTGAACTAGTATCATGTTGTATATAGTAATGTTCATGCTAGTATTCATGACTGTTGAAAATTAGTCCTGCATTTTACTATTTATTTTAGAAATTAGGACTCTTATGAGATGCCAATATGGAAATGGAATGTTTTATATAAAACTTTGTTTTTATAAAGACATGCAGTTTAATCTTTAGATTAATTCAACTATGGCTTACTTGAATGATTAAATTTGAAGTGCATGATTATAGAGGTGATACAATATTGTTAATAGTTACTGACAATATAAATTTCAAATTACACAATTTAGATTTATATATGAAAGTTTTTATTATACATTTTCAGTGACATTAAAATAAATGTGTTTCCATAAGTGTATCTAAATATGGAGAGATAGTCTCAACATTATTTTAATGTTGTCAATGAATAATTTGTCTGCTGAAGAATGCTTTTAAATACAGTATCTTAAATTCTAGGCTATGAAAGATGGCAAGTCCAGAAAGAAGTAAACGGAAGATATTAAAAGCAAAAAAAACAATGCCTCCAAGTTGCCGGAAGCAAGTAGAGAAACTGAATAAGTCAAAGAATTGTGAAAACGTGAAAACAGCAGTGACTGGGAATGGCTTATCAAGTGGTCATCAGAATTCATGTACCAGTATCATAAGTAACACATGTAGACCTTTTGAAAATGATGTTTCCTCATCGGAGTCCAGCAAAAATTCAGTATGCCCACAGAAAAGTAAAGTATACTCTCAGAATTCAGTACAACAAATTGTTGATTCAGAAACAAGATTGGGATATGCTGAAGAACAAGTTGTGTGTCCTTACCAAAAGCCAAGTGAAACAGGAGAATCTCCCAGGAAACTTTCCATGCAAGAAGCAAAAGATTCACAAAACTCTTCTGAAAACCATTTTGAATGTCAGACAAATGTAACAAGATCCTTTTTTGAACAACGTGAAGACAATTATAACCTGAAATCTATTTGCTCTCCGTCCAGTGTATTGAATAGTGTAGTTCAGATGTCAAAGTCCGTAGTAATCAATTCCTTGGATGATGACAGGATCAGCAACATTGTTTCTTATTTAGAAATAAACTCCAATTTTCAGTCATATGATAAAAAGCAAAATGACAGCTTATGTTCTGACACCCATTTTGTGGCTGTTGATAAAATGACTAAATTAGTTAATTCAGTCATTTCCAATAACTGTGCTGCTAACATTTTGAAAAGTGAAGAATCCTGCAGAACCTGTCATTCCAGCATTTCAAATTGTGAAAATACAGACTCGACATGCCTATCATCACTTGACACTGATAGTACTAACAGTAAGTGTATATCTATGCATCTTGTAGGTGACCTTATAGTCACAGACATAGAAAAAGAGCACAGGTAAAAAAAAGTAAAGGATGATAATGATTTCATAATATCTTATTTCTGAACTACTTATTCTGGTGAGGGGGAAATGATATCCTCAGTGTCCAAAGGGAAGTAAATTCTGGCCAAAAATGAAACAGTCACTTTCTCTAGTGAGTACAAAAAGTCTAAATGCTATTTTTAGCAGTTAGCTGGCTTATTTCATCTACAAGTTCATGTTTTGAATTTTTCCTTATTAGCCTAATAATCTTAGTTGAAAAAGGTTTTTTTTTAATTATTGGCAAACCCATTTCTTTAAAATTGTGTAAATTATGTGTCAATTATCAGCTGATATATAATAAAAATAGATACATTTACAATTGAATGTCCTATGGTTATAAATCATTAGCAAAAGTAATTTCATTAGAAGTTGGTGTTCTATAGGCTAATATTAGAATAAAATAATGCATTTTATTTGTGTTCTTTTCTAGGCTACAAAATAATCATTTAATAAGGTGAACTTTAAATTGCTTAAAAATTATGTAGACCAGTCTTGTTAACTCTTTATTAAAATGAGACCATTTAGTAATTATAGAGAATTATATGCTATAACTTACTCATTTTTTGTTGGTGTATATGTGTTAAGATTTAAGGAAAAGTGTAGCTGAGACCAGAATCATAGCCTTGTTTTGTTTTTAAGGACTAAGTTGTCAGAATTTTTTATATAGTTAACCTTTTTTTTTTTTTAATGCTGTTACAGTCACATTAGTTTTTATCCTTTCGTTGAAGATTCCTAAATTAGAGGATTCCCCTATTGCCTTCACTAGAAGGCATATTTTTATCTCTGATTTTTCCATTTCCCCAAGGCCATAATCAAAAGAAGAGGATGTTTTCAGATAACAAAGAAAATGTTAAGCGCATGAAAACTTCAGATCAAATTAATGAAAATATGTGTGTAGCTCTGGAAAAGCAGACAGCATTGCTGGAGCAGGTAAAATATTGGGGCTAAATACTTACTTTAGAAACTACCTTTTATTAGTAAAAAAAAAAAAAAAGTAAAGGTTCATTGATCACTGCATGAAACCAAATTAGCAAATGAATGTATTAGAAAAAAGTATTTACATTACCAAAACACCTTAGTTTCCTGAATGTGATACCATGTAGAGTAACCTAGGGAAATAATATGTATATAGACTGCTGTGGTAAAGAATAGTCAATATTACTTCCAAATTTCTTGTGAGTCAGGTACTCCTTTTCTTGACCTTTGCTGTGAACAATCCAGTTTCTTTTCTACTTGTCATGAAGTTCTTTGATCTCCAGCTTTAGCTGTTTGTGGACCTTATTATAATTGACTGCTACTTCACAGACTCAGACAACCCAGAACCCTATTTTAAAGACATGTTCTATTATCTGGCATTTTGCTTTATAGTTATTAAATACGCATTTTGCTTTCACTTTTGTCTCTTCATCTCTTTGTACTATAGTTTCCATATATTTCTGATGAACTCTTGAGTTGAATGAGCTTCAATTTTAGTAGTCTCATAATCAGAATCTATTTTGATAATCATGTTTTACTATTTACTACCATAAGAATGCTACAATTGAAAGTCATCCTATAGTAGATTAATATCTATAAATTTTAATGGACCAGGATTTCCCAGTTCAAACTGTCCAGCTAAATGTTTCAGAAATTAAACACATGGTTTTCTAAAGCAGATCATTGTAATTTTATTTTTTAAAAATTTATTTATTTATGCATACAGAACTGGGATACAGGCCAGAAGTGCAGGGGACCAGAGACAGATTGGGAAACAGAGCAGGCAGATATACTGAAATACACTGCTGAGGGGAGCAGCAGGTGGGTCAGGAGAGGTCTGCCATGCTATGTGATCACCTCCCTGGCCAGAGATCAAACTCGTGCTGCAGTGGCTGCAGTAGCTTCTTAGTGCTGTGCTTTTACCCATTGTCCCACCAGAGAGGACCCACCATTACAGTTTTAGTTACATATTAAGATGAGTGTGTATTCACATAATAAATGGAAAACTTTTTGAGAGACTCATACAGAACCAACTTAAATGTTGAGTCAAAGTTTTGTCTTTTTGACCTCCTGTTTGCTTTAGAGACACTAACAAAAAATATCTGAATGTTTTATTACTTTCAGGGAAAGGGTAGCAAAATTATGGTAAGCATGAATCTTGCTTAAGAAAAGATTGGAAGGGCCTCCCTGGTGGCACAGTAGTTAGTCTCAGCACTATCAATCTATCTTCAGTCACCTGCAGCATAAATTTGAGACCTCCTGTTTTGCCCACTAATCCCCTAGGCAGACTATTTCAGTAGATCCTTCTGTTCTGCTCCCCATTCTACCTCTGGTGAATCCTCTCACCCCTAGTACCGCTGACCTACACCTTAGTTCTTGTATGTATGCATGCATAAAGCGATCAACCAATCTTAAAAGAAAAAGAAAAGGTGGGGGATTCCATCTGAGTCCTATTCCTAGTAATAAATAGTTGAATTCAGAAATAAGTTCTGGTGAGGCTATATAAAGACAATTTGATCTTAAAGCACTAATTTTGCTGCATGAAAGACGCTTTCAATACTGTTATCTAAATTTCAAAATACTTAGTTTTGTTGACATGGAAAGTGTGAAGTATAGGGGACACAGGATTTTTATTATGCCCTTACCAAGAAGTTTTTTGCACATGCTCGAAGAAAACTTGGGTTTTTGCTAATTCTTATCTTTTTACTCACCTCTAAATCATTGGTTTAGTCTCAGTTCTCTTAACAACTGCTCATATTGTTAACTCTAAAGCACTATTTCTGTCTTTTCCCCCATATCTATTTATTCTTAGAATCTCAGTAGCATCTGGCTTTCCACACTGACATAATTTCTCCATATCCAAAGTGTCCCAGAGCTATTGGCTCTTTTCTTCTGAGGTTTCATAAGGTTCATTGATTCCAATTAAATTATTGAAGTAGAAGGTTTTTTTTCTTTTAAAATCCAAGTTGTTTACTCTCCATTATAGAATGGTTACATGTTAGAGATATATAATCCAGTCTTTAGGCCATTCGGCTCCCTTTACAAGGTATAGCTAAGACTTTCATATGATTCTGTAATTTTGGAATTTACCATTGGTGAAAGAGACGAGGTATTTGATAGAGGTAATTGTGTCTTCTTTATGAGGAATATTACTACTAAGTGACAACAAATACCCAATCTAACAAAAAGGAATTAACCTTTGGTGGGCATTTAGTCCAAAATAACCAAATTTTAAGCTTCTAGCTTCATCCCGTTCACCAGGGTCACTTGTTTAAATTGTGGTTTCTTTGGCTTACTAATAGTTGAAGACTTGCTTTAGGTTATGTCTTTCTCAGAGTTACCTGAGAAACAGGCACCACATTAGTGGTTAATTATACACCTTTTTGGGTTTTTCAGGAAATTCATTTTGGGGAATACATGGTAAGTCCTAGGAGTTTGTGATTCTTAGTAAGAATCCCGTTATACTTAATCAGGGAAACTTGGCAATTACTAAATACTTATACTAAATACTTGATACAAACACTAAACTAGACTCGAAACATTTAATTATGTTTCTCCAAGATTCCAGCTAGTGAATTGACAAGTGTGAAACAACCCATAAAAACCATACATGGAGGCTGGGCAGTCACTGTCAGTAAAGATAGTGTGTATTTCTGAGCGTTTATTTACTTAAGACCTCTATCTTGAGCACTTGCTAATTTTATCAAATATTTTAAAATTTTAGAAATAAAAGAACAATTTCTGATTTGGGGAAACTAAGTATTAATGATGCATTACAGGAGAAATCAAGTAGAGAATAATGATAAGTTAGAACAACTGGAAATGAAAAAGAAAAACTTTGGGAATAATCAAAATTACCAAATATAGTTCATCATCCAGTTGGTAATTAGTGTAGAGTTTAACATAGAAAATCTGTTCTAATTGCAAGAACCAAGGAGCAAGATATTAAAAGAAAGACATATATAATACTAATAAATACATTAAATATAAATTGAAAATTGCTTATAGGAAGATGCACATTGAGCAAAATACCTACAGTGAATGTTTCTAATGTTTGGCTTAGCAGAGATGTTCACATCAGTGGGTATTGAGATTAATTATGCTCCCTGAAAAATAGGTCAGTCATTTTTCTAAAATACAGACAGCTAATGAAGTACATCAATGTTTCATGTGATAGCTACTACAATTTATTATAATAGCATGTGTTACACTAGATAGCATTAGTCACTACCTAATTGTTCCTGGCTTCTTTCAGTTTTAACATAGGAAAATCACCCCCTTTAACAACTGCAAGAAAGATTTAGAGATTTATTTCTTTCATATCAACTCAGTTTTTTTCATGGCTTTTTTATGAGAAAGTTTTTTAAAAACTTATTTTTTTTAACCATCTTTTAAAAAGCCATTGATGTTCATATCCATTGATATGGGTATCATCTACCCATTTATGAACAAGGGAAATGAAGCTCAAGGAGGTCATGACTTCTCAGAGGTCATCTGTCATGTTAATGGCAGCATCAAGGCTCATGCTGTCATAATTTGGTTCCCTGTATTCTGTGGCAGGCCAACCAGTGTTTTCATGGGGTTCTTGCTTTCAGATAAATAAAGTTCCTTTTTAAGGAATAGTGGATTTCAGTTATAGTCCATAAAGGATATAAATGTAATTTCTAACCTGTCTGTATTTTTAAGTATAAGATGTTTTGTACAGAATTTGATAGTGTACTTTAAAAAAAAAAACTTACTGGTATAGTAATATAAACATAAAAATACGAAATTTATTGGTTACAGTAAAAGAACAAAGTTTTTAAATAGTAGAAAATAAATCACTTTTAAAATTTGAAACATGGGATGTTTTGGTTTTTATTTTAAAATTCTAGGTCAAACATTTGATTCGACAGGAGATTTGTAGCATAAATTACAAACTGTTTGATAACAAACTGAGAGAATTGACTGAACGTATTGGGAAGACACAGTGCAGAAATAAACATGAAGCGATAGCTGATAAACTCTTCGTAAGTTTCTAATTTCATTTGATTTCATTTGAGTTCTGTAAAAAGTGGAATTTGATTATATTTTATAACTTAGGAAAGTAAAAAGCAGATGCAAATCTAACCCCTTGCCACAGGCCTGATACACTTACCATTAACAATAGAATTTGTTATACCTCAGCAATATTTTCCCATGGGAAATGCTCTTAGAAATAACAGTATTCAATGTTAATGGTAGGCTTAATAATAGGCATATTTTTAATTCAGAATATATATTCTGTATTTAGAGTATATTAAACCTGTTTCAAGGTTCTGGTTGTTTTTTTTCTTCTGAGGTTACTTGCTAGTTGGTGTGTCTACCAGTATTTATTTTAGAAATTAAATTTGATGTTTTTATCATCTGTTCTTAAATGTTATACTGTCATCAAACATCATGCCTATCTCTGCCTTGTATAAAACCTCATTTATTTGGTTAGATGCCTGTCTCTCTCAGAATTACTGTGGCTAATAGTCTTCCCTCTGTATGTGAGGCTATTTATTATCCCATTTCATATTTATTTGTTTTTATCTTTTTCCTCTAGGCAAAAATAGCAAAACTTCAAAGACGTGTTAAAACGGTTTTGTTATCCCAAAAGAATTGTTTAGAACCAAATGTATTATCCAAGAATATAGCCTATAAGGTTGGTATAAACACATGGGTTTTAATAATTTTGTTGAACTACTTTTTATTATAAGAAATTACTGTACCTCCAAACTAGACATAAGGCTTTAAGCAATAATAAATGTATACTTTATATGTTCCTGTGATGTTCTCTCTGGTAAGATATCCTTAAGTAACCAAAAATGAATGCTACTTGTATTTCTTTAGTAAAGTAGTATGATAATTTTGCCCCCCCCTCAGCACGCCCCCTCCCCCACTATTTTATCACAATGAGAAGTTTCAAACATACGCAGCAAAGCCGCTCAACATGTAAATTCTACCTTTACAATTTTAATATATTTATGTTTATTATTTCTCCATCTGTCTCTTCATCCACTAAGCCATCTTATATGTGGAAGATTCATAGGTACTATATATAATTCATGTATGTTTTATCAAAATACACTCTGCAATGTATATTTCCAAAATATTTCAGTGTGGGTATCATTAAGCAGGCTTTTGCATCTGCTTGTATTTTTATATAAAATTTTTCTGCAGTCTTCAATGTGTGTATGTGTATGTGTGTGTTTTCACTGAACTTATTTCTTATAGTGTCTTTATATATGAAAATATTCTTTATTCATACATGCTTTGGTATCATTTAGCAAGCCTTAATAAATGAAGTGGGGAGCATTCTCTCCCTGATTTTTTAAGTTTGTACCTTAAATGTTTGATAATTTTATCAGATAGTGAAGTATCTTTGCAAGGAGCTTTCTTTGTAGGAAGATCTTTTTCTTGAAAATTTAATCACTAGGTATAGGGCGGTTCATATTGCTTTGTTTCATTTTTGTATCAGTTTTGTAAGTTAATCTTTACAAGGAATTTGTCCATTTTATCTAAGCTGGTAAATTTTGTTGGTATAAAGTTATTGACAATATTCCCTTATTTACAGGTGTGTATTTCACTTGATGTAGGTAATCTGTTTTCTTGATCTGTGTTGCTAGAACTTTATTTTTTATTTTTTCAAAAAACTTTCAAAAAGTATTGTTTGTCATTTACATAACTCTAATTTTGGGAGTCCAGCTTCATACCTCAGCAAGTGCTTCACTCATCCTCCACTGTAGAGGCCAGTGCACAGTCACATTTCCTCTCCTGTTCTCTGAGACTTCTGCTCCTCTTCTCTGGCATCCACTATATATATATTTTTTACAGCTTTTTTTTACGAGTGATTTTTGGCTTTGCCAGTTTTCTTTCTTTATAGTCTACAGATAGGTACAACCATCTATTTGTCTTTCACTTTCTGACTTTACTCAGCATAATTATCCATCCATCCATATTATCCCGAAACACACCTACCATCAGTTTTTTGTAGAAGAATACAATTGGTCACCCTCCTCTCAACTGCTTTTTCCTTATCCACTTAACAGGTTACAGACTCAGAGCCCATTCATTTGGATAAGAGTCAAGAGTCAGTTAATAATAGTCCAGATGAAAGAAAGACTTCTGTGACTAATAAGTCTTCTAACCTTTCAGAAAAAGCAAGTGAAAAGGTTTTGTCATCAGATCATGATGAGGCTGTTTCTGAAAGGTAGGCACTTCTGCAAATAAACAAACATGTTTAACTATATGCCTGTAAAAATATACATTGTTTTCTCAGTTATGCATATAGTAGCTTAAAGCTCCATAGGAACACAATTTTTCTATTATGAAGGAATAGAAGCTTTTATCATTATTGTTTTAATAGTACTAAAATGTTAAGTAGGTTAGATAATGAAATGTTTCATTGTGTTTCATCTTTGGTATAGTAAATAGAGTGATCAACTAGATCATTCCAATAGTTTACAAGTATATCCATGGAAAAATCATAGCCTATGAAATAGTAGTTAAACAAACTCCAAAGAAAAGTAAGAATAACCTGGCAAAAAGTACCTAAATGAGCTCTTTGCATGCTGGAAGTATCATGGTAACTTCAAATTAAAGTGAATAGGTTAACTTATTAGTCTAATTTGGTTACAAAGCAACTGAGACACCTAATTTCCTCTTTAGGAGCTGGTAAGAAAACAATAGTTCTTTTTTTTTTTCTTTTTTAAGATTTATTATTATTTATGCATACAAGAACAAGAACTGGGTTGTATGCCAGAGGTGCGGAGGATGAAAGGATTCACCAGAGACAGGGTGGGGAGCAGAACAGGCAAATCTACTGAAATAAACTGCTGAGACGGGTGGTCAGCCGGGAAACAGGCGAGGTCTCCTACACTCTCCTGCTGATCAGCTCCCTGGCTGGGGATTGAACTCATGCTGCAGTGGTTGGCAATAGCTTGATTGTGCTGAGATTTTAACCCATGTGCCCTGAGGGAGGCAAATCACCAAAAAAAGACTGGTGATTCTGGCCTGGGTTTGATATTCAAAGGCAGAGGTGGACTGGAGTGGGGTGACTGGTGGGAAAGTATTTTAGTGGTTATTTCACTGGGCTTCGCAAAAGTTTTGGATTTATTTACTCTTAATATTTACTTCTAATATGCCCTATAGATTTTAATTTATGATTTATCAGATTGATTTATGTATACAAGAACTGTGGTACAAGCCAAACATGTGGGAGTTAAGAGGATTCACCAGAGAAGAGCAGGAAATTGGACAGGCAATGTACTGAAATATACTGCTGAGGGAAGCAGTGGGCAGGTCAGGAGAGATCTGCCATGCCCTGTCAGGAATCAAACTTGTGCTGCAGTGGCTTCAGATGGCTTCACAGTGCTGCGCTTCAACCTGTTGCACCACCAGGAAAGGCCCTAGTTTTTTTTTTTTTTTTAAGATTTATTTATTTGTGCATACAAGAACTGGGGTACAGGCCAGAGGGGGGGGGGGGGGTTGCTGTAAGAGGCAGAGTGACAGAGTGGGGAACAGAATAGGAGGATTGATCGCAGTACACTGCTGGAGGGAGTAGTGGGCAGGACAGGAGAGGTCTGCCACAACACATGGGTCACCTCCCTGGCCAGGGATCAAACTTGTGTTACAGTAGTTGAGGGTAAGCTTTATAGTGCTGCACTTTAACACGTGCCACCAGGAAGGACTCAATGTTTTATTTTTACATGTTAAGTTATTCCTCAGCCTCAGCCTTTAAAAAGGAATATGTAACCCAAAATAAGTGAATAAATGATGTCTATTGTTTGCAGAACAACATCCTTTCCCCCAAATAACTATGCATACTCAAGGATTCTATAAACAGAAGGAAAAACATCACAAATCTACATTGTTTACAGTAGATTCTTAGGAATTTAACACATAATTTTGCCTCTTCAGAAGAAACCCCAATACTCCATTATATTGAGCTTACATTTTAGCTTTGAGCCAGGAGGCTGCTATGAAGAAGACATTTATTTAGATGATGAAAGCAACAGTCACATTTTAATGCATTTTTGTTGTTACCATTTGTTGATATATGTGCTAAAACTGAAAGTGACAGAAAAGGTTCTGTGTGATGAAAATGAAAAAGACACCATTAAAGTAGTACTTTATATACTAATGTGACAAATTCATCATTGGTTTGTGTCAATGGTATGAATAGTTCACCTTACCCTGTATGCTTAAGGAAGAATCTGCAAATTCCAAAACTGTTTTAGGCAATACTCTCAGTCCATGGTGAGTATGAGAGTAACTATGTGTAACAAATGTGTAACCTTGATGAGTTCAAGGATTTCAGGAGACTTTTTAAGGAACAAATGGCATCAGTTTCAAATAATCAAGAAAGGATAAAGAGGAAATATTCTTTATTTTATGAGACTAGCATAACTCTGATACTAAAATCAATCTTAAAATGTTGCAAAAGTGGAAAATTGCTATCTGCCCTTTATCTATGAAATAGACGCAGATATCCTAAACAAGTTATTAGTAAGCTAAGTTCAACAATGTATAAAAGTTGAGGTAGTCCCAGAAATGCTTCATGGCTGACTTAACAAAAAAATAAATAATTTGCCAGAAACAGAATAGTCATTGGCTTCAAGTACATCTAGGATTTGATAAATATCTACTTATAATTAAAAACAAGTTATTGGCAAACGTGGAGTAAGAGTAGTAAATTATCCTTAAATCTGATAAGAGTATCTATAAAACCTTTAACAAGTCTGATGGTGAGACATTGGAAGTATTCAGTCTGAGATACAAATTAGAAGGATGCCTGATGGCGCCACTTGTATAACATACTGGATACGTATTTTAAGAAATTTCTTCTGTTTCCAAGTGCTCCTTCCTAATCATTGTCTGTTCACTTTATCTTAAAAATAAATTTATCCCTCTTTTACAGTTGAGGAAGTTGACAGTTTCTTGTCCCAAAACACTGAGCTAGTAAATGGCAGAGCTGGGATTTAAATGCAAACAATTTTGTCTGTAGAATCCATGTTCTTAAACTACTATATAATAACACAATCTGGAGAATGTAATTACTAATTCTAGACACTTTCCTCTAAGATAATATGCAAGTAGAAAACTTACTAGATGCATCCAGGAAACCATGAAAATCATTGATAGCATTTAGTTTTCTTCCCAGACACACTTATTTAAATAATTGCTGTTATGGTAGCAGTCAGTGGGACAGTTTCATGAAATTTACATAATTATTATATATTCATGGAAATTCTAATCTTTAGTTTACAGATTTTAGACAGATATCTCAGGATAAGCATTAACAGCTTTATCTGTGTATATATTACACAGATATACTTTTTAATGGTTCACTGACATATAATACCTCCACATACAATAGTTACAGTCAGTGAAATATCCTTTTGATCAAAAAATACCACTAGTGACATCTGTCTCATACCTCACTCTAGTTTCCTTTCTAACCCCTACCCCCACATAAACCTAGGCAACCCCATTCTAACTTCTAACCAAAACTTATTGCTTGTTTTTCACCTTTTTGTAAATAAATTCATTGGTGTCTTATTTCTTTTGCCCAGCTATGTATTCTCAGATAGATCCATGCTGTTGCTTAGCAGCAATTATTTGTTTTCTTTGCTATATGATGTCTGTCAAATAAATATACTATGCTTAACTGATTCACAACTGTTGAAGGATATCTGGGTTGTTTGCAGGTTGGGGAAATTATAAACAGTGCTGTGCTGTGAACATTTCTTTACATATCTTTTGATGAATGTACATATATACACGTGTGTGTGTGTGTGTGTGTATGTATATATCGCTTGCCAATGACTTGTATTACCTGCCTCTCTTATTTAAGTCACTGTGGTATTATGTATAGCATCACATTGATTTTAACTTGTATTTCCTTCTAGTAATGAAGCTGTTATATTTTAATTAGTATATTTATAGGTTTGTTAGCCATTTGGATATCTTTTATGAAGTCCAAGGTTTGCTTGTTTTTCTTTTGCATTGCCTGTCTTCTCAAGTTTTTTCAACTATATTTACAAATCTTTTGTACTCAAGTCTTTTCCTTAATATTTTCATATATTATTTGATTCTTCTTAATTTTAGCAGTCTTTTATTCATAGGTTATCCTTTTGTGATGAATGTTCCATCTAGCCACAAATTTTCCTCAATCTTAGTATCCTTAAAACTATTAATCGTAGTTACTCTAATGCTTTGTTAACTCCCATGTCTGTATTATCTGTGCTTCTGTTTCTGTTGCTTTTCTGTCAGGTGCCAGTCATTTGATTTTGTCTTTTGGCTTGATTATTTCTGAAAAACTGGTGAGGCTATAAATATCTTCCTCTAGAAAGTTTATTATCTCTTCAGGTAGGTAGAGGAGGGCCTGATCACCTAATCTACTCTGAGAATGGTACAAATTAAGGTGTATTATTATTTCAGTCAGGCTTTTTCTACCACTAGTTCCTTCTGGCTCCCAAGATGTCATATGTCATGGATTCCAGCTGAAAGCTTGCAGTATTTGCCAGGATCCCTCCAAGTTTGTGGGTCCCAGATTTTAATCCTTTCCTCTTTGGCCTGTTAGGATTGCAAAACTACAGTCTGCTTAAAGCTTTTCTGCTTAGTTTCTTAGACTTTTACATGACAATACATTTGTAATTTTTTACCATGGTTCTTAATTTGAACGATAGCAGTAAATAAAAATACTAAAAATAGTGGAAATATTTTAAGACTTATGAGAGATTTTTGACTGCCATTAGAAACATCTGAAAATAATTATTTACAACTTCCTTGTACTTTAGCAACAAAATAAATGTATTATCAGCTTTCCATATGAGGGCTATTACTAGCAGAAATATATATACACACATACACACACACACATATATACACATACATATATACATATACATACATATAATAAAGTTGATGAGACCAATAATGAATAGAATGGAATATCTTAGATAAAATTTATATTTGAACATTTTTTATTGAATGTAGAAACAATGGCTATTGTTAGACTTTTTGTATTGAATGTAGAAGCAATGCCTATTGTCAGACCTCCCATAAATTTGATATGGGAAAAATCATTCGGTTAAATCTCTTAAGTGATGCACATGAAAATTGCTTATTTCACAAAGTGAAAATGAATGTTCAGGAATTGCTTCCTACAGACCATGAACTATTGAATTCTACATGAATTGTCCCAAAGAAAAGGAGCTGTTACACAAGATTGTGTTCCTTAACAGAAGGAAAACAAATTAAATGCGTTGTACCATTGTTCCAGCTTACTGTGTGCAGGCATCCCCAGGTTGAAGAGCAGGAGGAGCCCAAATAGCCTAGTGATCTAGTTGTGTTTAGAGAGTCTGAGTTGGCTACAACTTGTGAGGCAGAAAAATTAGGAGAGAAAATTACATAGATAGCTCTGAAGAACTACAAAGGAAATCCCTGAATCATTGGATTTGCACAATACAGATCTGCATATCCAAGCAATAAAAAACTATAAAAGACTAGACCAAGAAACACTGGAAAGAAGAAAGCCAAACATTTCATAAAGGTCACCCAAGAGGGGATGTTTTGCTTCTCCACTGGCTGTGCTGAGAGACCTTATGGTATCATGGAAAATGAACTTCCTCAGAGTGTATTGCTGTAGTGGAACTAAATTAATCCTAAAGTCTCCAGTAGGTCTACCCAGAATAGCTAAAAGGATTTATGGGACTCAGACTAATCCTGAGTAATTTAACTGTATGTCAGACAAAATCCAGAATTCTTTGAAGAGATGAAAAAGCCATCATACAACTTCATAAGTTTTACAATGTCTGACATCTAATAAAAAAAAATTACCAGGCATACAAAATAGCAAAACCCATTTCTCTAATAAGGAGTTAAGTGATAGGAACCAACTCAGAAGTAATATCGTTGATGGACTTTGCAGACAACAATAATAAAAAACTTATCAGTATATTCAAAATGTACTACAATATAGAGGAAAATACGAACATGATAACTGTAGGATATTTAAAAGATCCAAATTGAACTGGAGGTAAAAATATAATAAAAAGAGAAGTGTACATTAAATAGAATTAACAACAGATTACTGATTGAAAAAAATAAAATAGCACTAGAAACTTCAAACAAAATCATGGGGACAAAAAAGACTTAAAATAAGTAGAGAATCAGAAATCTGTGAAATAGTATCATGTTTTCTAATATATATGATAGGAGTGCATCTAACTGAGAAAGGGAAAAAAATGTAACATCTAAAATTTTTCAAGAGTTAAAGTCTAAACTCATAAATGTAAACACAAAAAAGTTAGCGCTATAGAATGGAAAAAATGCATCATCATCAGATTGCTGAAACTCAGTACTGACAAAAATAAAATCATAATGGTATCCAGAAGACATATGGAAGCTGAAAGTAAGATGATCAGAGACTACTATATAAACTGTACAATTTGGAAGACATACCTAAACTATTGGTAAAATAAAAACTTTAATTTTTATCATCCTTAATTGTTTCAACAAATGAGTTTGTTCAAAATAATAAAAGTGTAATGGCATGTGTGTTTAAAAGAAAGAAAGCTTACATTTATGTGTGTGTATGTGTGAAATGAATGACAGCAATTATACAAGGAATTGGAGTCACAATTAGGAAGATTTTGTTATTAAGTGGCACTTACTTATCTGTGAAGCTGTGTAATTTTACCTGAAAGTAGACTTGGATTGGTTGAAAATGTATAATGTAAACTCCAAGATAAACACTGAAAGAGTATAACTGGTATGCCAAAAAAATAAATGAAATGAAAGCATAAAATGCAGTTTTATTCATAATTTTAGAAATAATCAAAATGTCCTTCCATAAGTGAATGAATGAACTAATATATTCAGATAATAGAATTATTAGGTACTGAAAATGAGCCGTCAAGCTCATTTGAGAAACACATGGAGGAAACTTAAAATTCATATTACTAAATGAAAGAAGACAGAGAAGCCTACGTGCAGTGTGATTCCAACTGTATAACATTCTATAAAAGGCAAAATTATAGAGACAGTGAAAATGCCAAATGTTTCCAGGGCTTGGAGGGGAAAATAGGCAGAGGAGCAGGGTATTTTTAGGTCAGTGAAACCCTTCTGTATGGTGATATAATGGTAGATTCATGTCATATACTTAGCAAAAGCCATATATGAGTGTTCAAATCTAAGAGTGAACCCTAAACTATGAACTTCAGGTGCTGGGGGTGGTGGTGATGATAAATATATTGATGTGTCAGTATGGGTTTATCAGTTATAAACAAATGTACCACTATGGTGGAACAGGAGAGTTACTGTGTAGCAGTCATATGTGTATGAAAAGGATATATGGGAACTCTATACCTAAAACTGTTCCTAAAAAAAAAATTAATTTTAAAAGGAAGTACAAAGTATTGCTGAGAAAAATTAAGAAGCCTAAATATATGGTGAAATATATTTTGCCATATTCATGAATGAAAAAGTTCTTAAGATGTTTATTCACTCACAGTACTTTTTATACTGCTAATGCAGTATCAGTCAAAATCCCTGCTGTCTATTTTGTAGAAAATAACAAGCTGATTATAAATTTATGTAAAAAAATTTACTGAGTGATTATTTTACATTGTTAATACTTTTAATTATAGGATCTCCCCCTTCTCATGTACAGTAACTATAGCACACCCACCATGAAAGACACTGTCCTTCTTGCTCTCTCTCTTCCCACCGTTACCCCCTCCCTGATAGTAAACTTTTCAGTAAAATACAAAAGACCTGCAAGATGCAAACAGTATTATGAAAGAACAAAGTTGGAGGACATGCATACCTAAGTTCAAATAATATAAAGCTGTAGTAATTAAGACAATGATAGTGTAATAAGGCTAGATGTCTAAATCAACAAACTAGAGAGGCTACATATAGTCCATAGCTTTCAACAAAGATGCGAAGGTAATTTAATCATGAAAAGGTCATCTTTTTAACAAATTTGTAATAGCTAAAGGAAAAGTGACCTCAATTTTTGCCTCATAGCATTTACAAAAATAACTTGCATTGGATCATAGACCTAAATACAAAAGCTAAAATTACTAAACAGACACAAGAAAATAAAACTGCTTACAGTGTTCTGTATGGACTTAAAACTTGGCAAGACTGTTTTAAAGTTTTGATTTAAATGTCAGTAAAGTTAGGGTCAAACAGGAGCCAAAGACAACCTTCCCACCAGGTTATTCTATAACCATCATCAGTATCACTTACCATTCCCTCAGTTGAATAGTAAGTGATAAATATGTTTTATATAGTGACCTAATAAAATAGTGGCATTAATTAATTTTAATAGCTTTGTTATAATCCTATATTTATAAGAATTATTTTAATGGGTTGCTTTAAGTTTCATTTTCATAAAAGCGCTAGAACATTTATATATTTCATATGTTTTTTTTAGTGTATACTTATATATTGTATGTTTTGATTAACCGTGCATTAAAATTTAAGAGTGTCTTGTATATCCATGAACTTTTGGTGATACATGGGTTTTCTGGGTACTTTCCCCACAATATTAGATTAAAAAGGTGTCAGTAGTGAAATGTCAGGTTTGAAGAATTTAACCACTAATTGCCCATTTAAGTGTAATAATGCATGTTTAGTTTATTTTTGTTTTTAATTTTTTTATCATTTTAGTAACAATGATGATGTTATGTTCATTTCTGTGGAAAGTCCTAATTTGACAACTCCAATTACATCAAATCCAACAGGTATCTTAAGTTGATTAAAATATGCTCTGTGAAATTAGAAAGCTTCAAATCAGTGTTTATTTAAAATATAGAACTGTATAATCTGTCAATAAGTAATTTTAAATCAGTTCTCAAAAATGTTTTAATTTCTATCTGATTAATATTACTTAGTAAATAAATTATTCCCTAATTAAGGTTTTTTAATCTTATGCTTATTGACTTGTGTTTTGTTTCTTTATTGTTTAATCTGTGTCCATAAGGTTGCAACTTGCAAAACAACTTAGCTCTCATATATATTATTTTTACTAATTTGTTCTGGCCTTCTGTTAGTGGTAGAAGTTATTTGACTTTTTTGTTCTTTTGTTTGTAATCTTTTGTAATATAAGCCTATTACAGTATCTGTGGGATACCTAAGATTTAAATCACTACTCTTCAGTATCATTGATTTTTTTAATGTTTGTTTTTTAATAACACTTGTTGATTTTTTGTTTGTTTTTAATAACACTTACCTTTAGAGTGTCTGTTACTACACTTGTGTAAAAATCTTTTAACTTCAGGCTTCCCATAAATTTCCTTTCTCTTAAAATACTGTTCTCATTTGCCCTTAATTTCTCATATAAAAGTTGTTTTCTTTCATTTTTTACTCTTTTAATATTTACATCTTAATCTCAGAAACCTTCACAACCACTTAGAGCTACTTAATTGTCCCCATGTTGTGGGTTGTTAAGATTGTGAATCAAACAGTTAAAAGGAATATTAGGCAGTACCTGAGGTTTTCTACTGGCTCTATAAAGAATGCTCCTTAGCCATCTCAGACAGTACAGTGTAAAGCAAGATTCTGTGCATAGAAAGTATGTACATTTCCAAGTTTATTCTTTAGTACTGTTAACTTATAGATCAGTTTTCAATAAAGGGTTATTAAATAGTTAAAGTTATAGAAACCTTTCAAACCAAAATTAGATTTTTTTTTTCTAAAGATGTCCATTGAGTTTGGAATAGCTAGTCAATTGAATTGTATAAACTACTTATGTTTATACAATTAATGATTAATTAACATTCCTAGCATTGCATTTCAACTTTCATATATTATAATGTCCATTATAATATAATGTCATTATTTAATAGCTCATAAACTTGTCAGATATTCACATTCAGTAATTTTCTTTCAGATTCTGGGAATTCTAACAGTTCACCTGATGCTGAAACTGAAGTTATGGTAGGTACTAAATATTGTCTCTGAATGTTATTTGAATAACTTAAGTGTTGGATGACCCAGCTTTGTCATTCATTCTTTGGGATTCATTCTCTGAGAAATTGTCTGACTAGTTAACATAACCAGATTCAAGTTTAACTTCAGATAACTAATGATAAACAAACTTACTTAAGAGGTTAATTCATACCCTGCTTAGTATTCTCAGAGCCCTATGCAATATTTCATGAGCTTCTCTTTTATCATAGAGTTAAACATAAACACTTATAGAATGTTCATTCTCTAGTGTCTAACTGGTAATTTGGAATGATAATGTGTTTATTTTAAAAATATTTTCTGCTGTTGAGGCAAAATCTTATAGTTTAACAATCACTTCTTAGGCTGTAGAGAAGAAAAGTGATTCTGTGATTGATTTGACGAAAGAAGGCCAGTCGAACCGTAACACAGGTAAGGGATTTGTCTTTTTTACGAAAGAGGGAAGGATAACAACTCAAAGTGCATTTGATCCATTTATTGAATTTGTTTTAATATGTCAGCTCATATGTATTTATAGCTTTATATAATTTTACATGTGTACGTTCATGTAACTGCCCCCATAACCAGATCACTGTTCTGTCCACTACAGTCCTCCTCGCCACCCCTTTCCAGCTAACCTGTCTCCTGCCCCTGGCAGCCACCAATCTGTTCCTCACTACTATTAATTGTTACTTCATTGATGTTACATAAATGTGATGATAAACTGTGTATCCTTCTGGGGTTGACTTTTTTACTTAGTATAATCCCCTGCCCCTACCTCCCACCTCGCAGGATCATTCAGGCTGTTTTAGCAATAGCATTCCTTCTTTTTTTTTTTTTTTTTTTGCTGTAGTATGGTATGATTGTATCATAGTTTAACCATTCACTCATTGAAAGAACTTTGGGTTCTTTGGACTATTATGAATCTCTTTTTTTTTAACCTGCAGGATGCTTAACTATAACATGCTATATGAAAGCATGCTATAGGAACTGGGGCCTCACATGACTATAGAGAGAGAGTGATTGCAGAGGGAAGGAGTGCTCTCTTTCACAGATTTAAACAAAAGGCTTTGAAATACAGTCTTCTGAAACTGGTAGCCAACTATAAGGTTTCATTTCAATAACTGCTCTTGAATATTTATGGAATTCTCTTTGTTAGTATTTGTAAATAATGTAGTATTTTTAAATGGAGTGAATATAGGGTGTATATACTCCACTTTACCCACATATATTTCATCTGGGGACCCAAATAATGGTTGGAACTATTGGAATCTCCAAGTACCTCATGTGAGACTGTTAATAAACCTTTAATTTCCAGTTTCCTGAAGATTAGAAATAGAAATTTGTAAACTGAATGGGAACCTGTACGGAAATAATCACTTTTTAATGATTAGTTTCTAAATTGCATGATATAGGATTTGAGATACATTAAAAACAACACACATTCATTCCACATTTAATAAAACAAGCCATTCCTCGAATTGGAAAGATCATGCTAGATCTTAACTTTTGGTAATATGAGTATCTTGTGGATTGTTCAGTTTTGAATATAGTACACTTAGATAACATCTGGATGATTTCCCATATTTTTTGATAAATGTTATCACCAGCTCACCCAGTTTCCAAAGTCAGAAGTATGTGTTAATGGCCATCAGTTTTGTCTCTTTAAACAGCTGACAGGTTTGGTGTAGATGTTTCCTTATATCAGAATTTCATGACTTTCAGCAAGTTCTATTGCCGTTAACTTAGTAATGAGTATTTGTGTCCACTCATTACTATTAGTGCAGCTTCCAGGCTATCTTTAAAATATTTCTTATATACAAATTTGGTTATGTTTTGTCTTTAGAATAAAACCTAAACTCCTTAGCAAGCACACAGAACTTGTAACAAATAAGACCTTGAAAACTTTCTAGTTCCTTATATGAACCTTAATAGCTTCTCGGTGGGTAGACCTGCTCTCTCCTTATCATTTCTACATACGTGATTTCTTCTGCCAGAAATGCTCTCTCATGTATTGCTCCCAGGCAAAGAAACTAACATTAAAGATTAAGATAGAAAAAGGATCATGGGAAAAAGAATCAGAACATTAGTGAATTATGGTATGATAGTAAGCAGTCTAACATACATACATTGGTCAAAAGTTTCCAAAAGTACAAATCCACATAATCTAAAAACTTCAGGAAACTCTAAGTAGAATGTAAAAACAAAGAAAACCATATCAAAACCCATCATAGTCAGATCCTGAAAACAACTCATAAAGAGAAAAGCCCTAAAAGCAATCATAAAAACAAAATGTATATAGAAGAACAAAGAATTCATTTTCCTCAATGAAAAATCACTGTCGAACCAAGAATTCTGTACACAGCAAATACATCTTTCCAAAATGAAAACTTTTTTGAAGGTGCTAGCACTCCTTCTCTACCGTAAGTAAGTGAAGTTCTTTAAGACAAAGGGAAATAACATCAGGTAGAAAGTGGACCTGTGCTAAAGTATATTAAACCACATTGTGGAAATTATTGTAAGACAACAATAGAACAAAAGATGATCAGAAATGGAAATAGGACTTTAGAGGCTTTTAGCACTTTGTTCAGTGTTACATAAAGAACAGACTATAATGTTATTTAAGATACAAATAATAATGTCTGAGCAATAATTTTTAAGCAGAAGTTTAATTAATGGGCCCATAGTGGAGATAATACAGAATTTTAAAAACACTGAAATCCAAGTGAAGCTACAAAAAAGCAAAGAATATATGAGACTAATAGAGAACAAGATGGTGAATTTAAATGTGACCGTATTGATAATTAGAACAAATGTAAATGGTCTGAACATGCCATTAAAAAACAGATATTGGGGCCCTCCCTTGTGGTGCAACTGGTTAAAACTTAGTAATGCTAAGCTAGCCATAGCCACTTAAGCGCGAGTTTGATCTCTGGCCAGGGAGGTGACCTACATGGCACAACAGACCTCTCCTGTCTCTCCCACTGCTCCCATCAGCATTGTCCTTCCTTAGTCCCCGTTCTGCTCCCTACTCTGTGTCTGGTGAATCTTCTCACTGCCCCTATACCTTTGGTGTATAACCCTGTTCTGCATGCATAAATAAATATTTTTTTAAAAAAACATTATTGGACTGGATAACAAAACAAGAATGAAATATGATGTACTTTAAGTATAAATATATGAAGAGGTTAAAACTGAAAGAATGGAAGAAATTAACCATGCAAGAGCATGCATACACTAATCATAGGCAAGTTGGAGTAAACAGTATTCTTGTCAAGCAAGTAGACTTCAAAATAAGAAATATTATCACAGGGAAGTAATGATAAAAGCAGGGATTATACCTGAGGGAAGAAATCAAATACTGTACAAAAATGAACAGTGATTTAAGAAAATTAAAAATTAAAAAAGAAAGATTTAGAATAGATCTAGATCTAGATCTTAGAACCTTAAGTTGCTAGGAAATAATGTAGCCCAAAGCACATAGATGACATTCACTAGAGAAGATACAGAGATGGAAAATAAGCACAAGAAAACATCCTCCTCGTTCATAAGGGGAAATCAGCACTATATTGAGATACCTTAACACTTCCACTATAATGGCTAAAATGAAAACAACTGAAAATATACAAAGTGTTGGCGAGGATGTGGAGTAACTGGAACTTTCATGTTTTAGAGATAGAAAAAAAAGACAAAACTTGTAGGCAACTATAGACAAGGCATACAGCAGGGAAGGGGGAGTATTTTGGCAGTTTCTCAAAGCATGAACTATACCCTAACTATATGATATTTTTTTGTCCTCTCTCAGTATTTCCCAGGAAAAAAATGAAAGCCTATAAACACAAAAACTTAAATAAATTTTCATAGTACTTTATTCTTAAGAGCCCCAAACTAGAAACAACCTAAATCTCCATCAACAGACAAATGAATAAAATAGACTAATGTGTATCTGTGCAACTAAATACAACTCAGCAATAACAGTAAACAACACTTATAAACAGCAATTGGATGAATTTCAGAAATGTGCTGGGCTAAACAATTCTGTTTACTGAGTGATTTGATTTGTGTGAAATTCTAAAAAGGAAAATCTCATTTTTCATGACCACACACTAGTGTTTCCTTAGTCCTAGAGCCAAGAGAGAATGACTGAGAAGAGATACTAAAGAACTCAGGATGATAAAAACATTCTATGTTTTCATTTTGGTGATGGTTTTCCAATGTACAAACATTTATCAAAACTCATTTTAAATAAGTATATTCTATTGTATGTAAATTATACCTATGAATACTTAAAAGTACAAACATTACAAGTTTCTTTTTATAATATATATATGTAGGTGACTCTGTCTACATGTTTAAACACATGCAATAAAAGATCCAGAAAAATATAACACCAGGGGGCTAAGTTTAAACCAGAGGTCACATTCTTACCTAACCGCTTAATGTGGCCTCAGATTAATATGTTACTGCCTGTTGTTGCTTTGAGGAGACAAAATATGGAAATAACCCTCATACACTTTCTATAGGTAAAGATAAAAGCTGGAGAGCATTTACAAGACACTGTCACTGATGACATGAAGGCGATGGACACTAACTGGTTTGGGATAAAAGTCCTATTTGTAATCATCAGGTTGAGTTTCTGTCTTGACCTAGACCAACTGGAAGGAATGTTAATCATGGGAAATGGTTAGAATGTGTGTGTGTGTTAAACTGTTCATTCTGAAAATTTATCAGAAGTTACTCATGTCAGCTCTTGAGTGGTAATTAACCTACAGTTTATGATTTCATGAGGCTAGTTCTGATAAACCACTACAAAAAGGCAATGCAGACTCTTAAAATTAAAACCATCCAGTTATTACCTTTTCTAAAAAGGGTTTTTGTTACCAGTAAATAGTGAAATATAAGTTAACTTTGAAGTATAGTACAGAGTCTTGATTATCCTGGTCAGTCAAAAGGAAAATATGAGTGAAAGAAATTTCTTTTGGGAAGATTCATAAAGTGTAACAGTTATATTACTGCATACTTATTGCATCTTAAATGGTTTTACTGTTACTAAATATGTTCAAGTTTTTTAAAAATTGTGGACCTAGCCTACTGCTTTCCAACTTGAAACCCTCTTTGTCATTCCATATGTTCTCTCCCCTTGTTTTCAACCCGTTCTCACATCTGTTTCCTATAAAGTACAGGCAATCTTATTTCTCTCCTTCCCCACATTCTCTCTTCCTTTTTTTCTTCCTCTCACCATCTCTCTTCTATTCTTCCTTCTGTCCCTTCTCCTCCCAGTTTTCACAGTCCACAATTTACACCTAATTGTCAAGGCTAACACAGACCTCAGCAGTAGATTTAATCCCGGAGCATTAGACATGTGACCTGTCCATACCCGACATGAGTGGCTCTGTCTGCAGCTGTCCATGTTACCCTTCCAGAACAGAATCCACCCCTAAGGCCGCTGAGGGTAGTTCCCTGTCCTGTGTGGCATTGCATCTACTTCCCAGTTGCATAGTGATGTATTGCCTTTGAGAGGGGAAATTTCGTCACATTAAAGGAAAAATACCTGCATTTCTTACCTGTGGGTCTCGTGAACTTTTATCAAAAATGTATCTTCTTATATTACTGCTTTTTTTTTCAATTTAGTTTATGTCCCCAAGACATAAACTATTCTTTGTTTATAGACAATGGGATTGATTGTTTCAGATAAATGCTATTTCTTAAGCCTTGTTTCGTTCACAGAAGGTACAGTATCCACCAGGGAGTCACCTACAAAAGCTGTTTCAATCTCCAAGGAGACAGTTCCAGTGGCAAAAAATACAGCCCAGGTACTGATATGAAATGTTTCATAAGGGAAATTCATTTCTGATTGAATAGAGGTATCCATTTTACTCATGATGAAACATTTAGGTCACATTTTAGCTTAAAAAGTACCTTAATGTACTTTGTCTGTCTTCACAAATAAAATAATGAAACTGAAGCTTCCCAGAAGCTATGGAAATTAAAACAAATACACTTTCTTAGTCTAACAAATTAAAAATGATGTTTTTATTAAGGAGTAGTAGTGACTGTTGATAAGGGTGTCGGGAAATGAGTGTTAATCATTCACTGACACTTTCCATGTAAATGGACACAGTATTCCTTGGAAAGGCACACAAATAAAAATGAGATGTGATATTTATCCTGAATGTGACCTATCCTATTCTAGATTAGTGATATTCCAGTGTCAAAATCTTTATTTTTTTTTAAGATTTGTTTATTTATGCATACAATAAGGGGTACAAGCCAGAGGTGTGGGGTGGGGGGCTTAGAGGATTCACCAGAGACAAAATGGGGAGCAGAATAGGCAGGCAGACTGAACTACACTGCTGAGGGAAGCAGCCGGGAGACAGGAGAGGTCTGCTGCGCCATGTGTGTCATCTCCCTGGCCGGGGATCAAACTCATGCTGCAGTGGCTGCTGATAGCTTCATTGTGCTGCACTTGAACCTCTACACTTTAACCCAAATTTTAGAGAGGCCCTGAAATTTTAACCTCCCAGGTGGTACAAGGGGTTAAGTCTCAGCACTATTAAGCTGTCTGCAGCCACTGCAGCATGAATTCAGTCCCTGGCAGGGAGCTGACCCATATGGTGCAGCAGACCCCTTCTATCTCCCCGCTGCTCCCCTCAGCAGTGGATTTCAAACAGTCTGCCTGTTCTGCTCCCCACGCTTCTCTGGTGAATTCTGTCACCACCACCCCACCACTTGGCCTACACCCCAACTCTTGTATGCATAAATAAATCATTTTTAAAAAATAAAAGAGGCTTATGCTTGAAAAGACTAGATCCAGCCTCACATATTCTTGAAGCATCCTTAATGATTTCAATAAATGGATTGAGGGGTGGGAAACACGTATTTGTAGAATTGAAATGAACCACTTTAAAATAACCAGAATCAACTAATCTGACTTGCTCAACTTTTTATAAATGTGTTTTTTAGGTTCTTGAATCTTTTAAGCACCTGCCACCTCTCCCAGAACCACCACCACCACTTCCTGAACTGGTAGACAAAATCCGAGACACGCTTCCACCCCAGAAGCCTGAGCTCAAAGTGAAACGTGTGCTGAGACCCAGGGGCATCGCCTTAACTTGGAACATCACCAAAATTAATCCCAAATGTGCTCCCGTAGAGAGCTACCACCTCTTCTTATGCCATGAGAACCCTAGTAATAAGTTGATTTGGAAGAAAATTGGAGAAATTAAAGCTTTACCACTCCCAATGGCCTGTACTTTATCTCAGTTTTTAGCTTCCAAAAAGTATTACTTTACTGTCCAATCAAAAGACATTTTTGGGCGATATGGACCATTTTGTGATATAAAATCTATCCCTGGGTTTTCTGAAAACCTTACCTAATGACCTTAATATTTATATGCTGTACTATATTTTGTGTTGTTTTCCATATTTGATTTGTTACTATGTTCCTCTAACACTATTTGCTTTCTTAAAGGGCCACTTCAGATTGTGAACCCTTTGTTACAGGGTCAGTCTTCTTCCCTGTCTGTAAGAGGCCTCTGGTGTCATGAATTGATGCATTTCCAATTTGCATGTACTGAAAACGGGTTATGTTCTGACATATTATCATGGACCTTGGTCGCTAGGTGGTGCTATGTGTGATGCCTTCAGTGACTGGGGCTTCTGTTACAGCAGAGGACCTAGAAGACAGCAGCTGCCACTGCCTCTGTGGCCTGGTGGCTTTTGGTGACCTGCTGGTAGGCATATAGGTAACAGGGAAAATCGGCTGTCACTGAGGCCAGATCACCCCTGTGGTGCATCTCCACCTAGATTTTATAAAAATAAATGTCTTCTCATTCTGTTTCAATTCTAAGGGCTATTCATTTGTCCCTTCCCCTTCCTTTGGGGAAGGGAATGGTTATTTAATCATTTGGGGAAGTAGCCTGAAGGTTTTCCCCCAAGTCTCTCTGTGTAGGTGCATGTATGTTTGTGTATATAGGTATCTATATACATGGGGTTCAGTTTGGCCCCTGTAATAAATTCCCATTTAATTCATGTACATATTTAGTTAGACATTGTGTGATGTGTATAGAAACATACAGTATCTCTTCTAAAAGCATTATCCAGCCCACTATTTCAGTTGAGGAGAATGGAGCTGTCTACATTAGATTTAAGGCTTTAATTTGCTGATTCCCAAATGCTATTATGTTCATTTCCTGGCTGCCATCATTACTAGAAAAAGAACACAACATTAAGGGACTCGGTAGTTATGTCCTGTGCGGACCTGTTCAGGAGATAAAGCTGTAGTTAGTACAGAGAACCCAAGAAACTCCAAATGTGAATGGACTTGCTAAGTAGGAGGGCCCGCCCAGTGGGACGAAGTACAGAACTAGTCATCTGACATTGTGAAAAAGAAAAGTGAAAGGTGCTGTTCAAGAGAGACCCTGTGCCCTCATCCTTGTGAAATTCCAGGTTGCAGAGACTGGGATTTTGAAAATAAATAGGAAATGGTTTTCCTTGGCATTTTATAAATGCCTCCTAACTGTTGTAAATAAAGCTGTTTTCCCCAGGTCTCCTGTGCCTTGTCTTCTAAAACACGACAGAGAGCCACTACTCAGTTTCACGAGATTAGCTGCCTTCCATGAGATCCCACCTCAAGCCAGCGACAGTAGCGAGCCTACAGCGCAGAGTAAGGGTGAGGCTCGTGTCACGAGAGGTAGGTTAGATGTCCCCTGACTAAGCCAGGCCTGGCATCTTGACCCCTCATGCAAGAGTTTGGTGTGCATCTCCAAAGGGAAGCCATCTCCAGCCAGGAGCCTGCACGGTTGGCAAGTGCACAAATCTGGAGCATGAGAACTTTGGCTGACAGGTGCCTTTGACTTGTGACTCAAAGCATCGGCCTTTGGGGGTGTGGGGTAGGTCAAGATCCTCAGCTGTTACTGTCAGACACCCAAAGAACCAGCATAGGGAACAGAGCACCTAGCAGCTGCCTACACCAGAAAAATGTCTCACAAACACCGCGTCCATCTCTTGAACATTTTGTCTACTTTTAGTGGGGGTAACCTTTCGTCCCCTCCACAATAGAGCCTGCCTTGATTGATGAGCCAGCACTGAAAATGGTGAGAGACATTATGGGGTAGCTTGTGAAATGACGGGAGAACCAAGAGACTGGCTTAGAAAACACATGAAAGAAAGTGGCCCTCCCTGGTGGCGCAGCGGGTTAAAGCACAGCACTAAGAAGCTAAAGCCACTTCCGAATGAGTTCGATCCCCGCCTGCCCCGGAGGTGACCACATGGCGCGGCAGACCTCTCCTGACCCGCCCACTGCTCCCCTCAGCAGTGTACTTCGTGGATCTGACTGTTCTGCTCCCTGCTGTCTCTGGTGAATCCTATCACCCTCCACATCTCTGGCCTGTACCCCAGTTCTGTATGAATAAATAAATAAATCTTAAAAAAAAAAACACATGAAATTTTTCTCTGCAACAGATCTGAGTTTTCAAACCTGAGAGACTATGCAATTCATATTCTCCCAGGCAACATTTTCTCCCCATTATAAGATGGGGGCTCAATGGTCTGCCTAAGTCACAAAGACCTAGAATCTACTTAGCTCAGCTGCCTCCTGGGGACCAGGTGGGGAGAGAAGGGGAAACTCCTAGTGGGGAGCTGAGTAGGGCCTCTGCGTGACAGACTCCTGCGAAGCAAGTTCACCTTGTGCCTTCTGCACTAGAGCATGGAATTCACAAACAGCCCCCCAGACCTGAAAGCCAGTTGGGCACAGAGTAACTGACGAGGCAACCCTTTCATCTCAGCCTCCTGTCCTCACTGAGGAACGCGAGGGCAGTATGAATAACCATGGGCGGTGGTTCTTAGGCTGAGGCTCCAGGTTTTTTATGGACAGTATTTTTTTTCATTAAGTAACCTTGGAGCTCTATTAGGAGAAAAGTAATATTTAGGTCTTAAAGACTTCAAAAATATATATACAGGTTATAAACTTACTTTAAATCTTATTTCCAGTTAGCAATGTCAAACCTACTAAAGCTGTTCACTATAATAAAACTGAATCAAAAAAGCAGGTAGGTCAGAAGGAAACGTTCCACTGTTCATAGTTAATAACATTCACTGTACATTTGGGAAAAAACTTGCTCCACTCTCCTCCTAAATTATGTGCCTGAGAACCACTGCTGCATATATATAGATATAGGTATATATCATTTTGTATTGAATTTAATTGACGCTTTAAAAACATATAAAATGTATAAATCTACGCTGTATAATAAAATGCATTGCGACCCCCACCCACAAAAAGGCTGTTTCTAACAGCCTCCCTCCCTCCCCTTCCCTTCTTCCCCTCTCTCATTTCTCCTCTCCTTCTCTTCTCTTTCTTTCCCTATTAACTAGTTCTGCTGCTTGAGACTAAACTAATAGCCATAGGGCTGGTGTAAGGAATTAGCAAAACACAATGCCCTGGACCAAGCAAATCCTTACTGTCAGTGGTAGGAAGCCAAAGAATAAAACCTTGGCAAGGGGGAGAGGATGGGAGAGTTTGAAACATCTTGTTTTCTGGGTAACTGCTAATTTACTGGGGCAAGAGCATCAACTGTGTGTCACCCAGAGGGGCCGTGGAGGTAGAACAAAAATAGTGCTAAAACTCGGGTCTCTTTTTACCACCACTCCTTCCCAGCTCACCCTCCTGCTGAACTTCCAGATCGTTTCCAAACTTTTTACAAGATTTCTGTCCTGACAAATTGCTCTCAAGACTTCACCATGCTGCTTTCCTCCCCACCAGGGGAGCCTGGAGGAAGGCCTCCTGACACACTTGGTTACTGTCAATAAAGCGAGGCAGAAGGTCAAATATGAAATCCCCTGTTTCTTCTCCACTAACCTTTGTCTGGTTATTGATCATTCAGAATTCACAGGTGAGTGGGTTGGAAGAAGGGGACCCAGCTCCAGTTCTAGTCCTGGCTTTCATGTAATGCTGAGTAGCTCTGGCTTTCTGAGTCTGTTTCTGCAACAGTGGGGTTCCCAGGAAAGGGGGGAACCCGTCCCACCCAAGAGAGCGGAGAGCGGAGCAGGGAGAAGCTGGAGAAAACTGGGGAAGGAAGAGAGGAGCGCTAGAAGGCGGCCTGGAGGAGGCGCACGGAGCAGTGACAAGTCAAGAAGCTGCACTTGCTTCTCAGCCTTGGACTTGTTCCAGGCGCCTGGGGGTCATGGAAGGAGAACCTCGAAACAGCCCTGGCTGAGAGACTCACGGGGAGGTTAACAACGGCAGCCTTCATCTTGACTGTGACTTAGCTCTTTTCTGGCCTCGCCCTTCTTCCTCTTCTCCATGGCTCCCCACCTCAGGGTGAGGCAAGCCTTCGGGCCTCAATGGCCCCGCTCAGTCAACCCTGTCTGGCTGGGCATTTGACCACGAGGGGATGGGTAACTGTGGGTATTTTGTGTGCACATTATTTTATCTATTCCTTCCCTTCTCTCTGCTGTGCACTGGTTGTATTGGTTCTTTTCTACTGAAGGTCTTATGCGCTGGCTTTTGTTTTGTCTCAATTCAGTGGATGGCAAGCCCAAGTAGAATGGGCAGGGGTCCTGGGTGCCCCTCACCCTGTCCTATAACATTTCCTCAGTGGAAATGAGAATGTGAGCATATCAAAGACAGTCTGGAACCCATTCCTCCATCTCCCTGGTCTAGCAGGCAAGAGAGTAAAGTCACATGTGGACATGAACTCAGAACATTCTCCACCCTGATTTGTGAAGCAGCTGTGCAGCCTGCTGCCTATAGGTAAACTAGCCTTTCATGGTCCACTTGTGACCCAGGAGGATAAAGAGGACTTAAACAATGGGCGCTCAGCCTCCACAGTGCAGTGTTTAGAAATTAGGGAAGTGGCCTTCCCTGGTGGCCCAAGGGGTTGAGTCTCAGCACTATGAAGCTGTCCACAGCTAGTGGAGCATGAGTTCGACCCCAGCCAGGACGTTGACCCACATGGTGCAGCAGATCTCTCCTGTCCTGCTCGCTGCTCCCCTCAGCAGTGGATTTCAGTAGATCTGCCTGTTCCACTTCTGCTGTCTCTGGGGATTCCTCTCACCCCTGCACCTCTGGCCTGTACCCCAGCTCTTGTGTGCATGAATAAATAACTCTTTTTTAAAAATGTTATCGAGGAGGCCCTCTCTGGTGGTGCAGTGGGTTATAGCGCTGCATTGCAAAGCTTAGGCCACTTCCGCATGAGTCCGATCCCCGCCTCCCCCAGAGGAGATCCACATGGCGCGGCAGACCTCTCCTGGTCCGCCCGCTGCTCCCCTCAGCAGTGTGCTTCGTCGATCTGCCTGTTCTGCTCCCCACTCTGTCTCTGGTGAATCCTCTCACCCTCCGCATCTCTGGCCTGTACCCCAGC